TATATATATATATATATATATATATATAAACTTGGCAAATAACAAATAAATTAGAACTAAAAGTATGAAAAATAAAATTGCAATAAAAACAAAATAGATAAATAAATAAATAAATAAACACATCAAACTATAAATAAAAACTTCACAAAAGCACAAAGTCTGTTTTAAAAGGCATATTCCAGGATTTTTTAAACTTAATAACGGGTGTATTTCATGTTGTAGATTACCACAAACAATATATAATACACACACACACACACACACAGTAAACTAAAACTATTAAAATTGCTTTTGGTAATTGAAATTAAGCTGAAATAAAATAAAATATAAATATTAGATGAAGAACTTAAACTTCAAAACAATGTAAATGTTGCCTTGGCAACCAATTAAATTAAATACTTTGAAGTTGAAGTACTAAACCTAAACTGAAAAATAAATTAAAAGTTACTAAAACGGTTACTCATTAATAGAATTAAAACTGAAGTAAAAAGAAAGCATCAAATTAAAGAATATATATATAAAAAACTTCACAAAAGCATGTAACAAAATTACTAAAACCTAAAATAAAATAGAAAATATAATAATATAATATTAATTAATATAATATAGTATTATTTAGTCATTTAGCAGACACTTTTATCTAAAGTGACTAACAAATGAGGACAAAGGAAGCAATCAGAATCAACAAAAGAGCAATGATATACAAGTGCTATAACAAGTCTCAAGTTAGCCTAACGCAGTACACGTAGCAAGGTTATTTTTTATTATATAATAGAATAAAAGAAAACAGATAGTAAAAGAATAGAGAAAGCTAGTGTTATAGGTCTTTTTATTGTTTGTTTGTTTTTTTAAATTATATTTATATATGTGTTTAAATGCACTTATAAAACGAGCAGGCAAAACATCTGAGGGTTTATAGCTTATAGTTACACAGTAAAAAAAGAAACTGATGCTGTAAAATTGTACAGAATTCAAATACATTGAAGGATGTTGAAATTAGTGTCCCTGGTGAGATCTCTCCTGATCCCTGGAAATTCCCACATATACTGTAATCTCATCGTGCTCATTTATTATTAGTCTTAAACAGGAGAATTTGTCCTGTTAAGCAGGTGTGTTTAGGGTCGTCCGTCTCACCTGTTCTTCAGGCCCGGCACGGCTGCGATGCAGATGATGCGAGCGGAGCAGACGGCGATGCAGGCCTCCACCGTGGGCTCGTCCCGGATGTTCAGCAGACACACCTGACCCACGTACCCGTCGCTGTTACACACCCACACCTCATACGTGTTCTCTGGACAGCTGTGACTGGGGGATGCGCAGGAGAACTGCATCCCGCTGCGCGTCTTCATGATGGGAATGGCCTTCAGGAACTCAGGGTCCCACTGGTCTTTGTTCATGGCTGGACAAAACATGGAAAACAGGGTGCTTTTGATGAAAATGTAGGGATTGTCATCAATATATAGCATATTTGTCTTTTCTATTAATGTACACCCCATACAGGTGCATCTCAATAAATTAGAATGTCGTGGAAAAGTTCATTTATTTCAGTAATTCAACTCAAATTGTGAAACTCGTGTATTAAAATTTGAGTTGAATTACTGAAATAAATGAACTTTTCCACGACATTCTAATTTATTGAGATGCACCTGTATTTGTTGGGCTAATGTGAATATGAAGTATACATCATTAATATACTATATAAAGGATTTATTGGCTTTCTCATGAATGTAGGCACTATTTCTTGGGTGTTGTAAAGAATATTGTGCGGTATTGGCATTTGCATTGAATATATACAAAAATATATGCTGTATTTATTGGATTTTGCATGAATATAGGGAGTATTTCTTGGGCTATGCATAAATGTGACCCTGGAGCATAAAACCAGTCATAAGTAGCACAGGTATATTTTTAGCAATAGCCAACAATACATTGTATGGGTCAAAATGATTGAT